TAATTGATTAATTAAAAGAACTAAATGCTCTTCACATTTATTCCGTCCACTAGCGGTCCTACGTCAGGCTTCCGTTCGTGCCCCTAGGCACCGACCCTTCTACTTTTTTATCGAATAATTCAATGAAACAATTAAATAAATGTTGTCATGTTACTTTGACATGCAACATGTGTATGCTCATCAGTACATAGTGGCTTTAGCAGTTTTTAATCCAAGGTTAGTTGTGTACTAGGATTTAATATTTTTCTTTCAATCTGGCATTGCTGGTACTGGTATAATTGACAACAAGAATCGTACAGTACTATCCTAATATTTTGATCATGTGAATCAAATGAAAACTTTACCGTTTTATTAAAGTACGTTAAATTTATTTTACTAAAGATTGCTAGTATTAAAAAGCCAAACGCAACAGATTATAATTATGTTATGCATGCACAAATTATTTGACACATGATCTTTATTGGCATATTTGTATAGCTTTAGCTTATTAGTGAATTTATGAATTTAAGGAATAAACATCAGTAGAAATTCACCAAAAAAAATATTTGAAATTATATATTGCACACAAGAGGGTGTCAATGCAGTCAGATTTTAGTTTTGTTTTAATAGTTAATATTTTTGGGGGAGACGTTAATTACAAATAATACACGCAGTCGTGACTCGCAAATTATTAAACTTCCAACAGACGCGCGCTGGTGCACTTGATGAACGCGCAAAAAAGAAGATAGTACCGTAAGTTGGAGGGTAAATTGGGCCAAAAACACACAATTTTAAGTTCCGTTCCTTATGAAATTCACATTTTAGCGAGGAAATTAGTGTTAAGCCTGTATTCATCAATAATATATTTACGACTGTTGAAGAGATGGTTGATTTAAATCAAAATCTCATTTTACTAAAAGTCTATAAAAACTGGACCATTGAAATTCCTTATGGGTGAGTTTGGGCCAAAAAATACATTTGACCATAAATCTCAAAATAAGTAAATGCAATGTAACTATTAGGAGTTCATTTGGAAATGATCATAATGTCAATCGTATACATGATCACGTTTAATTTATGTCTATCCACATAAAAGTGTGTTAAAATATGTGATTAACAATGGACAATTTTAAACAACGCTTTTTTAAGGTAGTTATGGCACTTAACTTTACCCCAGGCAGGCATGGAAAATCATTTGCATTCATTTCGTGCACTCATTTACATTCATTTGCCTCTAACTCTTTTTTTCAACAGCATTTCGCAAAATGATATATAAAGTTTTTGTAGGTTTTGTCATTAGCTATAACTTTTGTTAACAAGTCAAATCCGTATCTCTTATGCATGACGAAGCAGAGCGAACAGAAGCCACTACTGTTTTTCAGTGAATGTATTTTACATTCACTGAAAAACAGTAACAAGTTCTGCTCGCTCTAGTTCGTGATGCAAAAGAGATACAGATTTGAGTTATGGCCAAAACTTGTAGCTAATAAAAAACCCTACAAAAGTTATATACATCATTTTGCGGAATGCTGTTGATGAAAAAAGTTAGAGGCAAATGAATGTAAATGAATGTATGAAATGAATGCAAATGGTTTCCCATGCCTGACCCCAGGAGTGCAAGCAACATGATTTAGTCATCCATTTTCCCAAAGCATCTGTGGTTTAGGGTTACTAAGCCTCTCATCTCGGTTGTTCGGGGTTCAATCCCAATGTTCTCGGTTACTTCTGGTTTGATTAAAGTTAGTAATGCATCCGCTTTTGTCACATATTGTTTTATAGTGGCACCGGTGGTGTAGTGCCAATCGTGATTGCCTCTCACCTCAAAAAGCTTGGGTTCAATCCCAGTCGACGCCGCCGGATTTTCTGAGGCATAAAATCCCTGAACACGCCTTCCTTCGGAAAGGAAGTAAAGCCGTTGGTCCCTGGTCCATGAGTTGATGGGTCGGAATCAACGGAAAACAAATCAAAGGAAAAAAAAGTGTCTTATAATGAAGTGAAATTATCTCATAAATTCATAAAAATATAATTTCAAATATGTTTTCCATGAAAATTTTCACGATGGAGAAAAATTGCAAAGAAAACCCGAAAGAACCATTTTCTAAGTAATCACATTTTTTCAATAATTTTTCCGAAGGATAAGTGTGCCAGGTTTTAACCCTAGTTGTCATCTAATTGGCGCTATCCTGAATTGCAGATTTTTTCATTCATTATATTATTTATTTCGTTACAATGTTAGAGCATACAACCAAGCTAGTGTAGCCGTGTAAAATCGATTTGTTTATTATTTTCAACCACGAAATCAGCTGCCAAAGTGTTCGACTTGACAGCGGTTTGTTTTTTATTTTCAACCAGTAAAATGCATGGATTAGTTAAACTGCTCACTAATACTAACGGTGGTAGAGAACTCTATATCTACACGGCGAATGAGAACGACTCAAATTTGAGATTAGTTCACTCATAATCGCCAAAAGTGCAGGAGCTCAGCGATCAGTAAAATTTGAGTAAAAATGTCTCACGTTTCTCAAATTCGGGAATTTTTCCCTGGAAAATCCTGGAAAAATCTGGAAAAACATGAGGCAAATTTACTCATCACTGAGTTCCTGCACTAGTGAACTAAACTCAAATTTGAGTCGTTCTCATTCGCCGTGTATACCATTTTCCCGAAGACTTCATGTAAAGAAGACTGGCAACTTTGCCAGATTTCAAGCATACACTCAAAAAATTTATCACATATATAATGTATGAAATCCATGTGAATTTCACATAGCTTTCCTGCAACCACATAGCTGCAAATCCCACCACAAAGTCACATGAATGTTATGAGGCCGGAAAAATTTATATTAAAAATCATATAAAATGAACGTGATCGCATAAATGTTATGTGAAACTCAGATGAATTCCATTAAGTTTGATTTTGTATGAAAATCATGTGCGTTTCCAATGGTAGCTACATGAAAACTATTTTCGGTGCACAATAGCGCTGCAATCGAGTGAAGGTGGAAGCATCGCACACTGAAAACGAATCTTACGCAGAGAGTGAGTCATGTTTACTCATTCGTATGGAGAAATGTCTAAAAGCGTAGGTTACTCATGCGCTGAGTGACCTACGCTTTTAGAAATGTCTCCATACGAATGAGAGAAAGTGGAAGGAGTGAAAGGGACTCACTCTCTGAGTTAGGTTCGTTTTCAGTGCATAGATAAATGAGCAAATATACAAACCTCTCTTCCTCGGTTATAATCTTTGCTGCCAAATTCGCTCGGAGCATTTATCTTTGAGCGGCAGGTGACGCGATTGTGCCTGACTTATAAACGGCGTATGGAAAAAAGAGAAAGTTTCCAGTCTTCTTGATATGTTGTCTTCAATTTCCTCGAAATAACCCTAACTCAAAATAATGTTCACGTTAATGCTACGTGAAATCAAATATAGATTTTTTTTTTCCATCGCACGTTTCACGTAAACGTTACGTGATTCTCATATGGGAGCACTCATTTGAGTGAGCTTCAACGTCACTGGATTATCACGTAGAAGTTACGTGATTTTTTCAGTACAGCTCATAGTGGTTCATAATGATGTTAATTCTGGCACGATTTAAATAAAATGTATTCTTCATTTCGTACATTAGAATCTGGGTATGGGCAAATCACGTAAACTTCAATAAAAAATGTAGCCTCTTCTAAAAGAATTTCCCCTCATATCTAGTTAGAGCAGGAATTAGGGCGTAACAGCCTTTGTAAACAATGACTTCTGTCGTTGATTTCTCGGAATTCAAGGCACCCCTACACAAAAAAAGCATATTGAGTAGATTTTAAATGGGTCATGTAAAATTGACGGCAAAGCAAAAAGAGATACTGATTTTTCACGTAACTATAACGTGTCGATTATCAATCCAAAAGCTCTGGTGCCACTTCACATTTTCCAGGGGTCAATTATCTGCTATCGCAAAACATACAATAACAAAACTCTTTTCCGCAATGTAATGCCTGAAATCACAATAGTGCCCAAGATTAACTCCCTAGAAAACTCGAAGTGGCAGTGCAAGTGCCTATGATTTGTGGACGCTGGATCGTATCGCCTTAACGCACGCTCACTAACGGGAGTCTATCACCGTGTAAAGTTGTTTAGTATTTTCCTCGGACTAACCTCAAAATTTTTAAAATTCGATCTGTCCAAATGAGTTTGGATTCTCACTGCACTTTCACACAAACTCGCATGAGCTGAACAAAGGCCTACGGGGATCAAGTACCGTGGACCTCCCGTTAATCTCAACGACAGTTTTTGCATATTAACGGGGTTGATTTTTAATTTGAACTTCTAATAACCCTACGACCATCAGAAAAGCGAGTGTCTGGTAACTTTATTTGCTGTCTGCGTTCCGTTTCATATCTTTCTATAGACGAGTGCACGGGTGAACTTTTGTTCATCTACTTAAAAAAAATGACACAACAGCGGGGCCCTGTTTACTAAAAATGAACACATGAATAATGCTCGTGTAACATTTAAAAAGGGCATATCAACTTTTGTAAATAATTTGCTAGGTCCTTTTCCTGAGAACCGAAGTACGTCCACGTAAACCAAGAGCACTATCGGGAAGGGGAGAATTTCCCCAACCCGATGGTGCTGTTAGTCTGCGTGGGAGTATTCGGTTCGCGCGTAAAAGGCTTAACAAGTTTTGTGTACAAAAGTTGGTAGGCCCGTTTCAAATGTTACGCGAGCATTATTCATGTGTTCATTTTTAATAAACATGGCCCCGCTGTTGTGTCACTTTTTGTCGAGTGAGTGAACTCAAATCCATCCGTGCACTCGTCAATAGTATGCTGCACGCTGACGTCACGAATGAACGCAATGAACCCGCATACATCAGTTTGACATCAAGTGGTTGTTTGAGTTTTAAAATAAAAAGGACTAAAAGTTGAACGGCGTGCAGATTAGCCGGTTTCAAACTAAAAAAGTGATCAGATTAAAAACGGTCAGATCACCAAGAGGTCACCCTACAACATTTAGTTAAACATTTAATTGTTACCTGGCTTAGCTCCTGATATCGCAGTATCCTTTGGACTAATGCTTTGGATTGTTGAACGGGACAAGCTTTCTGGTTCAGAGTACGCCGTTGTAGTCGATCCATTAGAAACTGTACTGTTGTATCCATTTGTATTAACACCAGGCTTCACAACATGGCTACTTGCCACCACATTTAGCACCATTATCAACAATATCAATGGGGAAAATCTTTTTCTTGCAGCAGCAACCATTACTGTATCACGTTGTTTCGATAACACTTTCCGATATCGATTGTCAAGCACATCTTTCACAACTTGTTGCAGAAACCATTCAACAGATCGTTAGTTCCTGCAAACAATGGGCGCTCTAATCGTTTCACCAAATAAATCAAACAGTAATTTTAATTGATTACAAACTGATAACGGAAACACTGTCAACAAAACGGGGCAATCGTTCCGGGCCGCCGCCGACGACGACCGCATGCGTACCAAAAGGATAATCGAGGTTGTTTGTTAGAAGCTTAATCCACACCGGCGCAATATAGCAATAACACTTGGCAGTCAATCAATTTTAAATTATTTACAGGCAATGAAGCATCGGTGCTGTGTCTGTCTGTAGGATGTTCCCTGATTGACAGCTAGAGGTATCTATGTAATGTCAGAGCTGATATCGAATACCTGCTGCACGTTGGTCGTCCCGACTCGCTCGTCGGGAACTGCTGCTGCCGATAAGGCCGTGATTACATCAAATTCGTTCGATGAATTCCCCAGCCGGGCTGATAAGCGATCATATCGTGAGGTAGGGGAACGTGAGGTAATACGCATCCCCTTAGGAAATGATCGATTTTCACTTCTCATTGATGATAAATATACATTCTATTTCAGTGCATTCGTTAGACTGATGAACTTTCTTGGTGATACAGTAAACATCATATGAAAGTAAATGCATATCCCTGAGGAAATAATTTAAGTTCAAAATAGCATTTTTATTTGTTATGCTTGATGTTATGTAGGTTGCATACATGCAGGTGCTATCCGTACGTTATTATTTCTGGAGGTATACATTTAGGCTGTATTTAATTTCACCCATATTCTTGTTTTCATTCGAACCACATTTTCCATACAAAAAATATATCAATACCTACAAACTGCTGAATTTCACTAGCCAACTGATATCAGTATCAGTTCACACAGTTAGAATATCAATATTATTTGCCTCAATGTCAGTTCGCACATGACATTTACATCGTAACGGGACCAGTGATATTCAAATTTCTGTCGCAATTTTGTCTTAAATACGCCAGCTAATCGAGAACCGGTCTTTAGAAAACTCGTCTGTTATATTAAAACAATGCAACGGTTATACAAAAAAGTTGATTTATTGAGATAAAAGAAAGATTTTCAACTTTTTCCTAGTGATATTCATATGGATAGTAATGTAAAAACCGCTCCACCTGATATCATGCTTACTACGGATATCAGTGTCGGAAGTGAAATTCAGTGCTAGACCAATATTAGACTAATGCAAAATTTGGAATTTTCGTTCCACAGTGTTCAAACGGTTTCAAATCGGGTCCTGATTAGCCTCCAAAAGCATAAACTCATTTGATAAGAATCTAACTTGGCACAAACCATTTGAAGTTTATATGGAAATTACTATGGGAAAGCAAAACTTTTTGTTCATTGTCTCCTAGCCTTTTTACATACTGTACTGTTAACAAATTCTATTGTTATCCTTATGGGAATTTTTATCAGCTACAACTTTGCAGAAAATCGCTTTTCAGCCAAACGTCAAATTAAATAGTTATTAATTGTTTAAGAGATTGATAATCTTATGGCAAGATTAAGCAACTGTATTGTGGGCAACACTTCAAGACCAACAATTGAAATGGCATTAACTCCATTTTGTAAACAAACCTTGTAAGGCCATTTTCTCGCGAACCGGAATTTTCATTCGCAAACCTAAACCACAATCGGGTAGATGAGAATTTCCCCTACCTGTTCATTATGTTGGTTTGCCTTTGCGGACTTCGGTTCACGAGAAAATGGCCTCACAAGGTTTGTTTACAAAATTGAGTTAAGGCCATTTCAATTGTTGGTCTTGACTTTATTCTGCAGTGTGTAACCCTCGTCCAGGGTGACAATTATAAACCACCCTTTTGCCGTGTTTGCCATGAGCGTGTGTCTTGTCTGTTATAATTTGTTTTTGTTTTGGTCACACGCTCGGCAACATACTCACCACTACCTGATATGTAAATATTTTAATTTGTTATTTTCTTTGTAGATTTTATTCGGTTTTTTATGTTGTTAGTTTAGCTAGATAGGAAAAAAATTATCGTTTATTAATGTATCGCGTCTCAAATAAAGTTAGGTTCTGATTCTCCTCCCGCTGCAGATGAAGGCGAAAAACATAATGAACATAACAGTCGAGCGCGGTTGCAGGAGCGATGGCGGTTTTGTTTGGGTGTTGTGACGTTGTGAAAAAAAGGAGAACAATTCGAGCCACGGTGAAGTCTACGCGGGTTTTTTCTTCGGAGACGCTTTTTCCGTTAGTCCCGAGAAAAACGACTTTAACTGGGAAAGGTTTGCCCAGCCGCGACGCGAGTGCCAGTCCGGAGGATTTGTTGTGCACCGCGAGTGAAAGTCGGCTCCGTGGCCGTGAAAGTTGTGAGTGCAACAGAGTGTCGGATCGCCATTGTGGGAAGCTAAGTGCTAAGGAGCTAATCGCTTCCCCGGCTAACCACAAAGGATCCGGTAGACACTCGCCGTCCTGACTGCGGTGGCTCAGCCAATAGAGCCAGTCTCGCCACCGCAGTTAATCGTCAAGCAGGACGAAGCAGGCAGTACTACAGGTGAGTTTGCCTGGGCAGAAACACCGCGGTGTCTGCCGGGGTTGCCTACGGCGAGTAGGCAATCCGGTGATTCGTCACCAACGTCGCCGGGGGGGTTCCAACAGACGAGCCCCGCTCATCCCCCCCGCTAAGTGTCAAGGACAGCCGAAGAAGCAAACCGCTCAGCACAGTCCGTGCTTTGTAGCAGCAGAACCGCCGTTATATTGTCGTCGAAGGGCCCCACCGAACAGCAGCACCAACAGCGAGGAGGAGAAGATAAGTAGCGAATAGACGTCTAAAATTGATTTACTTTTTGTTGTTTTGTCCCACCCAAATCCGAACGTCTTTGGGGGAAGTACCCTTGCTCGAGGCCGCCCCGCCGGGGTAAAATCGGGCCAGCTATAGGCTGGCAGGTAAGCCGCAGCTTACAAGTGTGACGTGTGACATAGTAGCCATGATTTTTGTTCTCTATTCTACACGCTTATTCTGGTCAACTCAAAATTGAGTCGAATGTACTCATCTCAGTGGCAAGTAGGGCTACTCAAAATTGTGTAGCCTTATGTTGACTCAATTTTGAGTAAACTACGTTCTCATATAGACTGAGTCAAATCCACTCAGCGATATTTTCAGTTGCAGGGAGTGTTTTTGTTTTGATTTTTATTTAAGGAAATGGAAATTTCCTGCTCCGGATTCATTCTACCGGAGCAGAAAATGCTTCAACACCGTTTCCCTAAGCAATTTATTCTTACCTGAAGGCATTTCAGCCGGTTTTGGGTAATTTTTCTTAGGAAGTTTCCTCCAACATGGTTTACATTTTTTGTAAGTCCAGGATTTTGCTGACTGAGTGGCTTTTACTTAGTTTGACATTTCTCGTTTACTCAGTTTTTGACAACTCGATACATCGGACGAAAGTGAGTACGATCGACTCAATGAGGTACAGAGAGAGGTGGCGCAGATCGTGAAATTGGGTTGTATTAGTAAACCAAAAAATCAACGTAAACGCAAGTAGTGACGTCACTACTTGCGTATACTTGCGTGTATCGTACAGTGGTTGTGTGAGTGATTGCTTCACCTCGGTAATCCAGCTCATTGCGATCGACTCACCCGGTGAGTAAGCTGAATGTACTGAAGTGTACGCACCATAAACACCAATGTTGCCTGCTGAACAGTTGAATGAGCATAATCATAAGACATCAGGGACTTGAATCATTAATAATTTTATTTCCTTATATTTGATCGAAAAGTAATCTTCAACCAAGTTGTAGCTGAGAAAATTGTCAGCAAGCTCAGCTATCATTTTCTAAACGAGAGTGAACTGGCTAATTTTGAGATAAATATGAACCGAAATTATGGTTTCTCCATAGTAATTCCCATATAAACTTCAAATGGTTTGTGACAAGTCAGTTTCTCACTAAATTAGTTCAAATTTTGGGAGGCTAATCAGGGCCCAATTTGGAACTGTTTGAGCACTGTGGAGCGAAAATTTCAAATTTTGCATCAGTCTAACCAATATCTTAAGACAATTGATATTGTTGACAGCACGCAGCACTGGTTCGCTGACCTTTTACAAAAATAACTGAACTCCTATAAAATTTGTTGCCATTCTGGAAATTCTCCACAACTTCAACGCAGTTGCTGAAGGTCTTAAAAGTATTCTAAGGTGCTATAAAATTTCTGAAGATGATGTTTCTTGAAGTAATATAACATTCCCTAAATTTTTAAAAAGTTTCCCAACAATCCACGAAGTTCCCTGAAATAAATCTCGTAAGTCATAGCTTCTATACGTATTTTCATTTATTTCTAAGAAGGTTCTTGAACGTCAGTAAAAACTTAGTTTAAAAAATCTGAAAGAGTGTAACATTTCGCCACCCGTAATATTCAAATGTAGAAGTGAAGACATTTAATCGATCCCCCCATACTATCGATGTTTTAAGGGCCATGGCCCCCTCCTAGTTCCATCTATGATCGTACTGTGCACGCTAGTGTTTCCGATGCATTTAAAAGCTAAACTACTCCTTTGGCAATAGGGGTAATAACGATAACGGGCTGCATTTTCTTCAAATATTGCTGATAACGGTAATTGGGTTAACAGTAAAATTATCTCTGTCACACTACCACTTTAGAATCGTATTTGTTCCGAAATAGATAGCTTTTACGGGGAATCTCTCGCGTCACTTTAAGGTGATTCCTTGAAACGTCTTTTTCACATTACACTTCGCAATTTCACAAGTCAAAATATTAAGATTTTTGTGGATGCACTGAGCTCGAACTACGACTTGTTGTTTGCTGTGGAGAAGCAAGCCATGTCTGAAATTTACAGATTTCAAGATGAAAATTAGGTCCTAAGTAACATTGACAGATTTCCTACGTCGACTTTTTTTGCATCCTAACGACCATGTTAACACTCCGAACACGTTGCCTCAGGTGAAATGTGTAACGGAAAATTGGCTATGTTTGTAAGATCATTGCTAATTATTAATCGATATATTTTATATATATTGATCCCGAAAAAAATCTTTTGCCGGTGCCGTAAAAA